AGTGTAGCTGAAGGGGGGTAAAAAAAGTCCTTCTTATTAAAAATCTAATCAATAGAAGATATGCTTTCGTTCTTACCACACAATCCCTAGAAGAGCTATTTAATACAAATATATGTGGTACTGGTTAAGAGCAGTGATGTATTTCCTAGCATTATTTTCAGACAGAATTTATAAGCACCAATCTGGGTCTCCGTCTTCTAAAGAGCGTTTCTGTGTGCTCAGAGTAAGGGCTTGATTTACAACTCTCATTCTTTTGCCTTAATAATGAGAAAATTTTCCATACGAAGCTGGGTCTTTCCTTAGCTCAGTGTCCTAATTTCCCCTGTCAAAATAGCTTTTTTAGGGAGTCTCTATTGTTCTCAGTTAATTTTAACACTAAATTAAAAGTTTCATATGGTGGTGATTTTAAAACATTTTACTCTGAATGCCAAAAGGTACCTCCCAAACTACTTGAATCATAATTGTTACCATCGTTACAATAAGGTTTTCATATAGAATCTCTGTTAGGCCCCAAAGTGTTCTCTAAAGACCACACTTTGAAATTTCTGTTCTCTCAAAACATACCCCATACGTTAGATAAGGGGTCGCTGACCTCATCTTACAGACTTAATAGTCAGGAGAGCACATAACTTCCCATTGGATTCAAAGGAAATAGTGGCATTTAAATCCTAAATCTAATAACCTAATGCTATTCCAGTGGCTTACCCTCTTTTTCGCCTTTTTTTTTTATTCCAAGTTTTCTAAAATCATCTGGGAAGTAATAGATCATATTTAATTGTTCAGGCTTTTATGCTGCGCTTTCAGAATCGCTTCTGATTTGTGGTCTGGCTCCAGTTCAGTATTACCCAGCACTAGGTTTGTTTCATCCACCCAGTATCAAAGCTCCCTCACTTTAGCCAGAAATTAAAATAATAGCTTTCAGTTTCTCCTCCCCGTCAAGGAGCTAGTCAATAATGCAATTTGCCATATTTTGTAGATGACTATATGCTCTCCATTAAAGCTGGATATATAATCCTTTTATTTATTTAGCAGGGGCTAAAGACAGAACCTTTTCTTCCTGACAACTTTACTCTCTTTACGAACTGTCCTGAAGCCCGCAAAGGGCCAACTACCAGATATTACCTGCTCCTCTAAATAAAGCCTGGGATACCTGCAGTCACTTTTCCTTACATCTCTTCCCCTAGAAAGTTTTACGCAGCCAAGTGTTGAGTGAGGAGAGAAGAATGAAGATACCATCAGTGACCAAAGTGGTCATATAGTTCTAAAATGATTAAAAACAAAACATTCCAAATACAAAAATTATCTGAACAAAAAGCTCTTTTGTGGTGTAAGTCGTAGACACATGACAAACACCCCCAGAGTAATCTGAGCTCTCGCCTACCATTAGCACTTTTTAAAGCCCACATGCAACTTTGATTTGTGGGTTTGTGCACAGGGCCATGCAGTTCAGTGCCCAGAAATCTTGAGGGCTGGCTTCTTTTCTCGGATGCCTCTGACTGACCTTGTGCAAATCACCTCAACATCCCAGTTACAGGAAAGAGAGATAATCCCACAAGCTATCTGCCTTCTACCTTGACTCATATCTCCTGGATCCCCAGAGAATGTGATGTGGACTAGACACAGGTCCTGTGAAATTATTAACTTAGAGGTGACTCTTACATAATGAGGTTAACCCTCCAATATCTCCCACAGTTCAGGTTAAGCTCCAAACTTCAGCACTTCCATCCCTTAATCACTTGAAAATTGAAGGTAAGGGTTAATGACTGCAGATTCACTCTATTTTCCTACTTTAAACCTAATTTAACATTAAAAAAGTCTTCCTTAAAAACTTACTTTTAGGGCAGCCTGGGTGGCTCAGTGGTTTAGCACCACTTTTGGCCCAGGGTGCGATCCTGGAGACCCAGGATCGAGTCCCACATTGGGCTCCCTGCATGGAGCCTGCTTCTCCCTCTGTGTCTCTGCCTCTCTCTCTCTCTCTCTCATAAGTAAATAAATTAAAAATCTTAAAAAAAAACAAAACTTATTTTTAAAAGTTAACTTTTGTTCACCTGCAATTCAGATGAAAACATGTCTTCCATGTCTATACCCTTTTGATTTTACTTGGAGGGGCAACATGGATTATGAGCTAAGAGCATATATAGCTTGGGTTTAAACCTTATCCCCAACACTTCCTAGTCATTGGCCTTGGACAAGTTATTTCAAGTCCTTGTGTCTCAGGTTCCTCTTCTGTAAGTGGGAAAAATGGTACTTTTGAAAAATAAAAATCTAATCATGTCACATTACAAAAACAAAACCCCTTACTTGCTAACTCTTAGTCAAAACTAAACTTACAATAAAAGTGTTCTGAATTTTCTATTTAACTTGTACAGCGCAAAAATAGTCATCCTTGTTGAAACAGTAACTATACTCGATAAATGGCAAGGTTCCAAATCTCCTATCTCCTAAGTTTCAAAGTGCATTTTGTTAGGAATAAAAAGTTAATTGATTAACAATGGAGTATCAAATGCTTTTAAGTGAATGGAGATGTGCATTATCAAGGGTTTTTGGTTTGTTCCTTGCAAAACAAAGCAAGCTGATTCTAAAATGTATGTAAAAATGCAAAGGGCCAAAAACATCCAAAGCACTCTTAAAGAAGGATGGCAGGCTTTACTCAAGCCTATCATAAAGCTACCATAAATAACATGGAGTAACATTAACACAAATAGATAAACAGAACCAAAGAGAGGACCCAGTAAATTCACACAAACATACACAGATGCTTGATGTATACCAGAAGTACACTATATAGCTCAGGACAACAAGAGCTGGCTATACAGAAGGATCCTTCCTCATACATTCACAAATAATTTCCAGGTAGAATCAACAACACAGCGGAAAGGTAAAATTCTAGAGCACTTTTTAACTAAAACAATTTTAAAAGATAGTATCTTCATGACTTCAGAATAGGGAAAGATTCCTTTTAAAAAGACATTAAACAGGGCAGCCCCAGTGGCCCAGTAGCTTAGCACCACCTTAAGCCCGGGGTGTGACCCTGGAGACCTGGGATCAAGTTCTACATCAGGCTCCCTGCATGGAAGCTGCTTCTTCCTCTGCCTTTGTCTCTGCCTGTGTGTGTGTGTGTGTGTGTGTGTGTGTGTGATGAATAAATAAAATCTTTTAAAAAAAAAAACATTAAACATAAAAGATTGGTAAGTCTGCCATTAAGGTCTGTTCATTAAAAACACCATGGAAAAAGTAATCCAAAGAGGAAAATGTTTACAACAAATATAACGAAGTAATGATTAGTATTAAGAATACACCCTAGGGGATCCCTGGGTGGTGCAGCGGTTTAGCACCTGCCTTTGGCCCAGGGCGCGATCCTGGAGGACCGGGATCGAATCCCACGTCGGGCTCCCGGTGCATGGAGCCTGCTTCTCCCTCTGCCTGTGTCTCTGCCTCTCTCTCTCGCTCTGTGTGACTATCATAAATACATAAATAATTTAAAAAAAAAAGAATACACCCTAAAGGGGCTAACTGGGCGGCTCAGGCGGTTAAGCATCTGCCTTTGGCTCAGGTCATGATCCTGGGGTCCTGGGATCGAGCCCCATGTCAGACTCCCTGCTTAGTGGGGAGCCTGCTTCTCCCTCTCCCTCTGCCTGCCACTCCCCCAGCTTGTGCTCTCTCTCTCTCTCTCAATTAAAAAAAAAAAAAAGACACCCTAAAGATAAATGAGGAAAAGGACAGCTGACACAAACACAATAGAAAGATGAATAAAAGTTTTGAATGGACACTTTTCAAAAGAAGAAATCCAATGACCTGTAAACATGAAGATCCTCAATGCCATTACTAATCAGGGAAATGCAAAAATAAAACCACAATTAAGACCTACTACCAAAACATCACACTGGCTAAAATTACTGTCTGGTAATAGCAAGTGTTAGTGAACTGGAACTTTCATACATGCTGGACAAGGGATGGTGAAAATATTAAATGTTAAAGATATGCATACCTTATACCCCACGAAATGAACTCCTAGGTAAATACCCAAGAGAAATGTTTATGTGCACAAAGATGCTCATCGCAGCATTGCTTATAAAAGCCAAAAATTGAAAGTATTATAGAAATGCCCACTCCACTAAAGTGGGATTGATAGGAATAGCACATTATACAGCCACCAAATGAATCAACCACACTTACACATGAATTTCATAAGGTTGAGTCAAAGACACCAAACACACATACAGTATGATTTCATTTTTATAAGGCAAAAGTAGGCAGCAAAACAAATTAACCATATTATTGCATACATAACTGGTAAAACCATTTTTTTTTTTTTTAAGGGGGAAGTACTACTTTAGGATAGTAGTTACCTCTGAGGGATAAATAGGGTATCCACAGGGTACATGGGGAGATTCGAATGCTGGCAATAGCTTTTCTGCATCTGGCTTGTGATTACATAGCTGTTTGCTTTACCCATTAAACTGCACACCTGTTTTGTGTACTTTTCTGGAGGTTATATTTGACAGAATTTAAAAGAATGAGGGAGAAATTGTATACCAAATATTAATGCTGATTAAATCCGTAATTATTAAAATAGTGCAGGAAAAACTGCAAGGCACAGAAATAGGCCCATACCACAAGACACATGGGAATTTAATATTCTATAATGATAGCATTACAAGTCAGTGAGGAAATGGCTTAAAATACTGAGCCCCCCCCAAAAAAAATATTGAACCAATTGGTCAACTATCTGCAAAAATTAAATCTTACAAGATCCCCAAATAAATTTGAGATGGATTAAAAATTTCCTTTTGAATTAAATGTAAGTATAAAATGGAATTTTTAAAAAAGTAGTAGAAGAAAATAAGGATGAATACATATCCATCTTGGGAGTAGGGAAGGCATGCTCAGGCATAACAAAAGTAGTCTTCTAAAGAAAACTTCTACACCGAAACACCACAAACTGTATTAAAAAGAAAGTAACACACTAAAATAAGAACATATGACAAAAGCCGGACATCTTAATTCATCAAGAATTTATAGACCAATAAAAACAGCACTCTCCAAGAAAATAGTTAAAATATGAATAAGCAACGCTCAAAAGAATGAACATTAAGTGATCAATAAACAGGAAAAAACATCATTAAGCAATCAAAGAAATATAAATTTAAAAAATAATCCTTTCTTGTAACTGATTTGCAAACACTTTGAATAGCAATTTTCAGTTCAGGAGTTCAATATTGCTAGGAGGAATATAAAGGGACTCCATCTTTGTGGTGGGTGAGGTCTATCGAGAATCTCAAAAACTTACCTATACTTCCAACTAGCGATTTCACTTCTAGAAGGCTATCTTCCAGAAATAATTTTTTGGACAAACGTGACTTTAAGATGTTAATCTCATTGTTGTTTACAGTTTACACTGTAACTAACAAATTATTAAACAATAAGTTGATTTTAAAAGTTCTGGCACACCCATTAAATAGAATATTCTGTAGCTATCTAAAATGCAAATTATCTATTATGGGAAAATGTTTAGGACACATAGAGCAGGCTATGAAACAATATATAGTATGATTGCATTATTGAAAATAGAAACAAAAAATATGTGAAGTACATATACCCAAACCTTAATACAGGTGTTCTCTGGGTGATCCGACTACAAGGGACCATGTGTACATGCATTTGAGCCCTTCCATATTACTTGGCTTTCCAGAATGTATCCTTTTATCCTCTAAGGAATAATTTTATGTTGTGAAATACATTTACTATCAGTTTTTAAAAGTACAAATAATTAATTTGTTAGCTCAGTATATCTTTACATGGGGGGGTGGGGGGGCTGGGGTGGCAGGGGCATAGAAAGCTGTAGCTGCTCTTGGAAGTTCATGCTAGAGAACTGAGCCCTTCTTCTCACTCCTAAATGTGTTTGCAGGAAAATTTGATATATGAAAGTCTCTTTTAAAGTAAGATAAATTTAATTAAGCACCAGTAAAATACCACCATTAACATTGTAAAGTTGCTCTAATTAATATTTTATTATTCAACACTGTTTGAAGTCTCCAACATATTAAAGAAGTCTGATAATGACTACATAATCCTTTAAAATTACATAAACACAAATAACATAAGAGATTGAGATTTCTGTAGCCTATATATGCCTCTTTGGGCGGGGGAGGGGGCAATATATTGACAATCCAATTGTAGCTTTAAAAAAAAAAATGGTTTCCTTACCAAAATGAACCTGTCAGCTCTGAGAGTAATGACCTCAAGTCAGGTCAAGCCTAAGAATAGCTACTCCCTGCACCTACAACAGTCACCCTAGACTTTCCCTCCAACTCGTGTTACTCCAGGCAAATCTGATCATCTAAAGATCATCCAAGCTCCAGCATCAACTAAAAGTACTCCTTATTCCTAATCAGAAGAAAGATAGCATTCTTCCTAAGGGAAGACGGAAGGAGACAAATATTTAAGAATTTTCTAGGAGTGTCTTCCTAGGTACTTCGCATGTGTCCAATACCTCAATAACCCCATGCAAACATGCACAAAATTCTCTAGACTGCTCCCTTCATTACTCAAAAGAGGAGGGAACTTTATCTTCCTAATTCATCTTAGGTGATGCCTGGGGCAACCAAATATTTCACTGAAAGACATGTAATAAATGCTATTCCACTGAGATAAGAATAAGGAAGAGGAGTTACCTGCCTCATTTGACTTAGAGGAAAAAAATACTGTGCCTACTAAGTACTAAAATATCAGACCAACACACAACATACTGCAAAACTTTAATACAATATGATTAAACATAATATTCAAATTTTAAACTTTCTAAGCACATGAAAGTCATCTTCTGAAAGACACACTGGGCTATTTTTATAGCTACCTTTGTGTAACTTTGTAAAACTCCCCTCAACAATGTGACTCTGATCTTGATACTTGGTAAAAAGTCTGACGTAAGATCATGATATCTCAACAGGCAGACATTAAGGTGATGATTCCACTGCCCATCTTCAGAATTCATCATCAGAGGACTGATCATCTTCATCCCTTACTTCTCGATACTTCCTCGAAGTCTCCCCTTCTGGATTATAGCTCTGCATCTTAATATTCAGTCTTTCAGCTAATTTTTGTGCCGCGAGTTTGGCTTGCATCTCCTTTAAAACAAAAATCAAAGCAAAAAGTTACACATTCACATCTTTTTCCCTACCATTTTTCCAACAGGGAGTCACTTAAAGAACACTGGAAATAAAGGGGCATACCACTCCCCTCAGCGCTCTCTAGCAGTGTGCAAGTCTGAGGTTGTGCCTACCACACATACAGGGGGGCAATGCTGGTGAGAGCTACTAGCCCACCACCGCTATGGTCAGATTTCCACTCAGACAGACAGTAGTGCACTGATTACCCCACTTCTCCATGGCAAACTGAGTAACAGGTTTAACACTGCAACAGTTGCAAATATGAAAAGATTTTTAAGTATGTGGATACATGCATGTGTACATACACACTCACACAGCAGTTTGAACTATCAAATGCCAAAAATCACTAATGCTGTCCTGATTCTCCAACAAAGAATCTTCTTTCCTAGATGAAATCATGGCTTTTAGGCTTGAGATTTACATTTCAGTTGCACAATGAAAAAAACAAAATCAAGAAACCAATACTTCTAAAAAGCTAACTATCCCCTCTCCAAATTAAGTTCCCATGAAAGTTACTATGCAACACAAAGTCCACATAAATTTCAGACACAGGCAACGTGCTCATAAGACACCCAAGGGCACAACCTCTGACTGATGGCAGGGGCAGCGCAATTTTTAATCTGGCTCTTCACTTTTCTCCTGCTTCTGCCCCTACAACTTGACCCTCTCCCCGTCCTTCCCCTCGGGCCATGAATATTCTGGGTAGGCAGAACTGAAATGGGAGCTATTACCACTCTGCCAAGGAAACCAGTTTCAAAGGAACCAAATTCAAGCTAAATTGGGCAGGCACTTAAGATCATATAAACAATTTAGAAAACAATTCCCCAAGGGTGTAGTTGTAAGTAGGCGATAATACTCTAATACGTGAGGAAGAAAAATGGCTAAAAAGGAATGCCTTGAAAATGCCAATCCATGCCAAATGAATTTTTGTAAAAAGTCAAGGCTGAAAAACAGCCTCATTTTGTCTTGAATAGTGTCTAGTGCCTGATTAAGATCTAGCGAAGCAATGCTAGGAAGTTAGGCTGCTATTTTCCTGGAGGTTCAAACTCTTACTATCTAAGGATATTAGATGCTTTCTATTCTCCCTCCAGTCTGCACAACTATTTCCTCCCATCTCATTACTCTGTGCACAAACTGTCCATATACATGCTTAGAGTCCTGGGCAGAAGTCCCAGATATTTGAAGAAAGTGCTGTAGGAAATTAAGTCACCATAGGTAGGCGATTCTTCTGTCTTCACAGGGGCTTACAGATCATGCTTTTAAGTTTACTGTCTGAACATGTTGATAAAACCACAGTATTCTCCCAACATTACGCTCTTCCCTGTCCGGCAAGAGACAGAAACCCGGAAAGTTCTCCCTGATTCTTGGTTAGCTTCTACCACCGAGAACCTCTTGCATGGCGTTTCCAAGGTAGAAGACAGAGAAGCAAGGCTTCTGCTAGCCTGACAGCATGGGCTTTAAGAGACTGGGGAATTTTGCAGTAGTCTCCTCCCCGTATTTTCTGGCAAAAACCACTCAGCTGTCGCACCTAGCTGTGAGCATCTCCAGCTGCATCAAGACTCTCAGAGAACTAGAGGCTCACATCTAAAAGCTACTGGCATTAGCCAACCATTTCTCAAGCACCTACTCCCTTCTATCGAGTCCTATCCTTTCTGAACTTTCCAGAGTAAATTCTGACTTAGCAGCATCCAACACACAGACAAGAAACATTTAGAGCTCTAAATACCTCATAACTCTGTTTCTGCTGTTTCTGAAGTGCCAAAGATTCTTCTATGGAGAGCAGCTGGGTGGGCATATGGTGAAGTGGTAGAAGGCGAGCTGCTGTGATGTCATCGAGATGCTGCTTATCCCTGAGCCGCCTCTCTTCTGAGGAAAGGGGAGACCCTCTTCTCTGCCAATGGCTAGATGCAGATTCATCATTATGTTGCGAAGGTAATCTGAAGGAGGGGAAATTTGTATCAGCGGACTACTTTCTTTTTATAGACACACATTTACAACATTCCCACACAGAAGTGGCCTTCAACCTTAGCAGTGAATTCTCCTAAAAAGATAATAGTAAGGAGTTTACCAGTATTTATATATGTAGGCAAAAATCCTGTTTCTAAACATACTTACTTCAAAACCAGTATGTAAATTAGCACCTTTTTGGAGAGTAACGTGACAATCCACTGTTTTAACAAATAGGTAGACTGGTAAGTTCTTTGCATTTTCCTTCACTCCTCCAACCTTACACTTTAACTGAAGCCATCTTTCCATCTTTTCATTCAAAAAACATTTGTGAAGGGGTATGCTGTCCAGTAAAGGGAAAAAAACTTATGGACAGTTTCTGTGCAACACAATACCACCTGGATAATACCATACATAGAGGTGGTATACATACTATACATGTTGGCACAGTGCAACATAAAGTAAATGACCAGTTTTATTGGGAGACGGGGGGGGGGGTGGGCTGTCAGAAAAGCTTTAAGAAAGTGAATTTTGAGGAGTCTTGGAATAATAAATGCTCACTGTGTCAATGAGGGGAAAAGGCATCCCAACAGGGAGTGAGGGCCAACATGGTGCTGCACAAAGGGTGTTCAGGGGGTGGGGTGGCCAGGAAAGGCAGCAAGGTAAGGCTGGAAGTAGACCAGGCCCAGTCCTCAGCCAAGAGTTCTGTTCTATATAATAGGTTCAGATTTGCATTGTACAAATTTCACTCTGACTGCAGTGGAGAGGATGGACTGCTGGAGTTAAGACTAGAATCCAAAACATGCCAGTTATAGTCCATGAGAGGGATAAGAGCCTTCATTTTGACAGGAGGACAAAAATAAGAATGATCAGAGATAAAGGTCAATGAAATATATTATGTAAGTCTTTACGGCTGGCAGATAGAGAGGAGACAAAAGCAAGACACCTTAGGGAAAAAAACAGTGCTGACACTATGAATTTAGGGAATACAGGAGAAAGCATGGGAAGAAGTAAAAGTTCTATGCTATGTATAAATCTAAGGTGCCACAAAACACCCACAGGGCTAGGTTTCATTGGTAACTGGCCACGCAAATCTGAAGTTCTATAAAGACCGAAGCTAGGGGGAGATGAGGGGCAGCCACCAGCATCCAGGCGGTACATAGAGCCAGAATGGCATGGAGGAGGCCAAAGGAGGAGCAGAAAAAGAGCCAAAAACTGCTCATACTTGGAATCCCTCGACAAACACGTGTCTAACAGACTCATCCAGGCCCAGCCTTTCCTGATCTGCTCTGACAAGAAGCATCTGGCTCTCCCCACTCTGACTTCCAGCTAAATGACCACACTACCACAATCAGTGTATCCACTGACTACATGATGCTTTAGGTTTTCCAGCTTTCTGGAGGTAAGGAAATGTACCTCCTGAACACAAGATGAGAGATTACTTAGAAAGAGTACAAAGATTACTTTTTGTTCCTCACTAAAAATTAATGTTCTATAATCCTGGTTTTTATACAGAAGTAAATAAAATGTTTTCAAGTTAAAAAAATGGCAGGGTTGAACTTGAAAGTTTTTTTGTAATAGTTCTATAGTTCTTTGAAAGTTTTAGGTATTTCTAACTAGAGGTTTTCAGATTTTCAAAGGCAGGCAGTAGTGATTCCACTTTGTATATGATGTTACACCTTGCTAAAGTCAGACAGGTAGGATACCAGTGGCTACTCCCTGAGATGAATGTTACATCTGCACACAAGGAAGTAACATCCTTTTTTCTTCAAAGAGCTTCTCTTTTTCTGCAGATCTCAGTAACAAAACTATGGCTAGGAAGTCAGAAGCAAGGTTTGCCCCTCCTGCCTCAAATGTTTTTGTGTCTTTAACCCCTTCTCAGCTACCTTCCCCCCTCAAGTTGTTATGGTCTAGTTCAAAGTTCTTCCAAGTGTGGAAGCCTTGGGTTTTCATCTAGACCCTGAACTCCTGAGGAGCAGGACCTTTACTTCTGTGTCACCTCAGCACCAGCTGCTTACATATAGTGAGCATACAAATATGTTTTGATGACAAGTCCATCAGCTTCTTTCCCCTTAGCTTACAGTCTAATCAAAGGGGGAGCTGCATAACAATTGTTGTGGAAAATAGTCACAATAAATTCTCAACTCTGGGTTTACTATCAAATGTTGGCTAAGCATCCTGAAATTTAATACTTCACCTGCTATGTGAAACCTATTCAATTATTTGGCTAAAAACCTAAAGTATTTTTCACCATGAATCCTCCACTCTGGCCAGGCTGTTTCCAAAGTATGCTCTTTCCTAACTATAAGGAGGTCCCACACAAAGTCCACTGAACTGAAAGCATTCTTCCTTTTTTCTTTTCTTTTTTTTTTTTTTTTAAGTTTAACAAATAGTACATTTCTGTGACCGGCCTGTTTCTGATAGTACTTACACATTAGTTTTAAATTTATGTGCTGGGGGCACTGGGTTTTTGGCTCGAATTTCTAGCACTTCCATGTAATGAGGCTTCTTCTGTGCCCCACTACGGAGCCTTGCCAAGTTTTCAGCACTCCTGCTCTCTTCTGAGTGCCCTTCACCCGGGTCCACAATTGTGATCCTTTGTAACTTATCAATAAACAGGTTGTAAGAGCTGCTAGAATTATCTTCTGCTGGACGTGAAACCCGATGTTGAGGGAGATGCACATTAGCTTCGGAAGAGGAAGGTGCACAGGCTCTGCTGCTGGAGGCTGGGCACCTATTCACTGTGTACTCCACCTCTGGAGCTTCTTCATAACTTTCACCAAAAGGATGTACAAGTCCCTGTTGCTGTGAGGTTGTTTGAGATGACTTGATGTTACTTACAGAGGAAGAGCCACAAACTAGTGATGAAGTATCAAGTACCTGGTCAGAATTCTGGGCCTTATCTGTGTCCACATCAACAACTGCAATTGCTTTTTGCTTTAGCTCACAGTCTAAACTAACAGGATGAAACAGTTCACTTTTTCTTCTAACTTCTTCACATTCTGCAATGGCAGCTTTCAGTTTGGCAACAGAGTCTAAGATCTTTTTACCTTTGTCGGGCAATTTGCAAATGAATTTTCTGTTAAATGGGGAAAAAAACACACATGTATTTGTTAGAATCATGTTTTTAAACTTGAGATACAAAGACAAAAGCATTATCCTCAAAGGGGAAAAAAAAATCTATCTTTATGCCAAAAATCTGATTTCCTACTGCCTCAAAACAGGAATAAAGTAAAAGGCATTATCTACATACTCTAAAAATACAGGATGCAGAAATAAGTATTCCTCATCTAATTAGAATTTCAGCAAAAGTATTTTAAGCATATAATATCCTATAATACACCCCAAAAACTCGCAGTTTTTAAAGTGTGATGTCCAAGGCCTTCCTAAGGAGGGGACATGGATGGGTCTGCATGGTCAAAATTATTTTCATAATACTACTAAACCATTATTTGCCATTTCCATGCTCCTTTTCTCATATGGGTATAATGGAGTTTTCCAGAGGCCACGTGATACTGCTCTGATGGCTAATCACTGTGTATTCTTGTGTTTTAAAGATCTCTCACCTGTAATTACTTTTTTCTCTAATTTATTTATTTTTAGGAAGAGAGTGAGCACAAGACCACAAACGGGAAAAGGCAGAGGGAGAGAAAATCTCAAGCAGACTCCTGGAGCCGACGCCAGGCTTGATCTCCCCACCGAGATCCCGACCTGAGCCAAAACCAAGAATCCAACGCTTAACCGATGATGCCACCCAAGTGCCCCTCTCACCTGTAATTCCTAACACACCAATAAACACCAGTAGATGTTTTGTAAGTAGATGTTTTGTAAAACATCAGTAGATGTCTTGTAAAACAAGAGCTCCTTGGGACGCTCCCTAAGTCTTAACAGTATAAAGGGGGTCCTGAGACCAAAAGGTTAACTCGCTGCTATAGATTTAAAAAACCATTCTCACAAAGTACTTGAACCTACTCGAAAGCTCCCAAATGGTCATTTGTCCCTTTTGCTGAGTGACAGAAATTCCTTTTCAGATTCTCTCTCTTTTTTTTTTTTTTTTTTTATCTCTATTAGAAATGGAGGGAAGACAGATTACACCTCTGGCTCTCTATTCTCTCACATTACATTCCTTCCCACAATTACAACACTGAATCCCTCTCCAGCTGAGATTCCTACATGTCCTCAGCCTTCTCTCTCCGGATCCTCATGACCACTACTCTAGCTTTCCCCCACCTCCCCAGGATTTTATTTATTCACGAGAGACACAGAGAGAGGAGAGAGGAGAGAGAGGAGAGGGAGGGAGGGAGGGACACAGGCAGAGGGAGAAGCAGGCTCCATGCAGGGAGCCGGACGTGGGGCTCGATCCCGGGTCTCCGGGGTCACGCCCTGGGCCGAAGGCAGGAGCTCAACCGCGGCGCCACCCAGGGGTCCCCCTAACTCTATCTTCTGAGTACATCTAACTAACTCTCTGTTCGACTCGGCACCCCCCCGAGGAAACTCAACCTCGGAGCTCTTCCCCAATTTTCCTGTTCTTACCAGTGGGCCTCTCTACAGGCTGGAAACTTCAGCCATCCCTTTCAACTACCTACCCCGATTATCCACGCCTGGTCGGAGTTTTCCCAATCCGACAACTACTCTTCTACAGTCCCCCTTGCTGGGAACTTCTCTGAAAATAACCTCCAGCTGTCGCCTGCCTCGGATTCCTCCAAAACCATCCAGCACCAATCTGCTAAATGAAGCTTCCTTTAAAAAAACAAACAAAAAAAAAAAACAAAAAAACCCACTCTCATTATGTTGTTCACCTGCTAAAGGGCAGTCGGCCAGCTGGAGGGGACAAACATTTCCTGCCTAATGCAGCGCTCCAGACACTCCCTCTCCTTCCTACAGCTCCCGCAGGAACCGGAGCGAGAGATGGAACTGACCGGGTGTCCTGGGCCCGGGCCCGGGCCCGGCGGCGAGGGAGGCGGAGGTACAAAGGGATTTAGGCCACGGCCCCTCCCTTCAGGGAGCCGCGGGGGTAGCGAGGTCATTAGCACCAAGGAGGGCTCAGGGAACAGCTGAGGAGACTCCAGCAGCCGGCCGTTCGGCAGCCAGCCATGGCGCGGCCGGCTGTGCGGCGGGGGGCCGTCCGCTCGCCGCCGGCACCGCCCGCGTCTGACGGAGGGAAGGGAACCCGACGCGGCCCAGGGAGCCCCGACCGAAGAAGCCTGGCGGGGACTCGGCGGGACCCCAGCTTACTCGTTGCGCAAAAGTCTCTCCTGGCGCTTCAACATCTCCCGCAGCTCCGCCAAACTCCGCCGCCCCAAGTCCTCGGGAACTTGGGGCTCGAAGCCGCGGGCCAGCGAGGACATTCTGCGGGGGCTGCGGCTGGCGGGGCGGCGGGCACTCGGCTCCCTCGGCAGCCCCCGCTGCTGGCGCCGGATCCGCCGCCGGCGTGGACTCCGAGGTACGAGCGGGAGCCGCCATTTTCCCGGAAGAGCGGGGCCTCTTCGAGCCGAATCGAGCTTTATTGAAACACCGGAAACAAACACAGGCGAGGGGAAGGGGGCGCTGGGAGGAGCGGGGAGGGGCGGACGTTACGTAAGCCGAGGGGGCGGGGCGCGCTGGCGCTGGGGGCCGGGGGTCTCTTCGCGGCTCGTCGGCTCGGCTCTTCAGGTTTGTTCAAAAAGTGTTGCCTGTAGCGCCACTGTGACCCCCCAACACGTGTCCACGACTCCTGCCGTTGTGGAGCTCACCGAGGGGTGGAGGGAGGCGGACATTAGTCAGGTAATGGTGAAACAGCAGTAAGAGGGGCAGCCCGGGTGGCCCAGCGGGTGAGCGCCGCCTTCGGCCCGGGGCGTGACCCTGGGGACCCCGGATCGAGTCCCGCGTCGGGCTCCCTGCAGGGAGCCTGCTTCTCCCTCTGCCTGTGTCTCTGCCCCATTCTCTCTCTGTTTCTCATGAATAAGTATCTTTTAAAAAAGAAAAAAGAAGGCGCCCCCGGCAGGTGCCTTCTGAGAAGTGGGATGGAAGTGGAAACTCGCCCTTGGTGAAGCCGGGGAGTGTGCCGGACGGGGCCCAGGCGGCCAGGGCTTAGTGAGGTCCTCAAACTAAGTTGGAGGGATTTTTCGTGACTATCAGCGTTTCTTAGTGGGACTCAGTGGCATTCGGAGCAGGACATTTATTTCTTCCTTTGCGTAAGACGTTTGGTGTCTGGCTTGCGCCCTCTGGTTCAGTGCAGCTCCCAGCTCGGAACAATCCCCGACGCCTCTACCTGTTCCCCCTCCCCCCCCCCCCCCCCCCCCCCCGGCCCGCCCCGCAGGTACCCAGGCCCCTCCAAAATCCGCCGGAGGTGATGGTGGCAGGTGCAGGTGCGGGACACGTCAGCCTGAAACCGATCCTTCCTAACTGCCCAACTCGCCCGTGGGAAGGCAGAGGCGCAGAATCAATGAGGTATTCCCAGGGCACAAAACTAGTTAAGTGGCCGCACCAGATTTCACTCCAATGTCCAGCTACTCTTTCTACCACACCCGTTTGGAGAATCTTTTTTTCCGCCTATTTCCAAATGTTTAAAACTGTTGAAAGTTTTTTTTTTTTCTTTTCTTTTCAGGTTGTTAAGAATCTTAAGAGTAGAGCAGTGTAAGAAGCATCCCAGGTCGCTCTGACTTTGTCTTTACAGCTCAGCTACCAGAGCTGTATCCCAAAGCAAAACTAGGAAAAGCGTGCAAGAGTCATAACACGTAACAGTTGGGGGGTTTGGGCACCCCTGTAACCTCCAGCACCACCTCCCCCCATTCTCTGATATGGAAAATCTTTAATTTTCTCAATCCTGTGTATAGTGCTGTAATAAATAGAGCTGTTCCCTCCCAATCAGATAGAGGCTCTAAGATAAAATCTGAAACTACTCCAGGGATACAGTTGAAGCCATTTCTGTATTGTCCCAAGCTAGTCCATTCTGATCAGAGTAAAGTATCCAAATTCTCAACATAAGCCCTGCTTGCAAAGACCTCAAGAACCTGCTCCAGGGCAGCCCCGGTGGCGCAGCCGTTTAGCACTGCCTGTGATCCTGGAGACCCTGGATCGAGTCCCACGTCGGGCTCCCAGCATGGAGCCTGCTACTCCCTCTGCCTGTGTCTCTGCCTCTCTGTGTCTCTCATGAATAAATAAATAATTTTAAAAATTAAAAAAAAAAAAAAAGAACCTGCTCCAGCCCAGCTATATAGCAGATACTTGAGTAAGACCTTGGAGTCAGGGAGTTGTCTGCCGGCAAGCTCCCCCAAAGCCTCCCTCAACCTAACCCTGAGCCACAGCTGGAGGCCTTTATTAACCCCACGGTAGTGAACCCTCCTGGTCCTGGGCCACTGGTGTCCTCCAGGCAAGGATGCCTTTCTCTCAAGACTCAGAATTTTGCCCCCTACCATTCTCCTTTAGCCTCTTATAAATCTAAATTCAAGCTTCATCTTCCCCCTAAGCCTTTCTACATTATTCCAACCCCAAATTGCTCTTTCTCTTGAACATAACTATACCTCTTAGAGCTCAAACCTCAGTCTCTGAAGCATATTCTGCTTCTCCAATTGTCTTATGCATGGTGATTTCTTTTTCCTTTCTAACAAAATTGTGAAGTCCGGGAATTCTCTCAGGGAGTTAATGTTTGTACTTTTCTGTCTCTTCTAATGTATATCACAGGTATTAGTTGATGGAATCTGCCTCTATCTCAATTTTTCTCATAGCCTTCCTCTCATGCTCCTCTTAATGAAATATCTCTTTCGTATATACAAATCTTAAGCTTTTTATGTATCAACCATAGTGATTGTGAATTCTCAGTGGTATGTGATAGAATCTTTTATACAACATAGCTTAGAACTTCAAGATGTCCTAATACAAATCTGAATTTCTAACAGCACCGATGCACAGTCTAGTTCTCATCAGTAACCAAGAGGTTTGGCAAGTGAGAAAACATCACCCTAAAACAAAAGCGGGCTGTTTGCACTTCAGAATGAAAAGAGACAAAGTGTTCTTTTATAACCATCAAACAAACAAATGAAAGGTAAGTTTAGAACACAGATTTTAACAGCAGTGTCTGGGGAGAAATGATATAAAATGGAGAAATTTAACAAAGAAGGAAACCGTGAATGACATTGGTTTTAACGGTCTCCAGCCAGAGCCAGGCAAATACTTGAAAAGAAATGGAGCCCACAAACCAACAATCCCTAATCTCTGCTAAAGAATTCCAATTGTTGGGCAGCCGCAGTGGCTCAGCGGTTTAGTGCCGCCTTTGGCCCAGGGTGTGATCCTAGGGTCCCAGGATCGAGTCCCATGTCGGGCTCCCTACATGGAGTCTGCTTCTCCCTCTGCCTGTGTCTGTGTCTCTCATGAATAAATAGATGACATCTTTAAATAAATCACTTATCCAGTGGTACTTGGACTAATCTTCAGAGTATTAATTATCCTCAGAGTAAACTAATGAATTTGGCTATTAGCAAGAAAAAAAGTCAAAATGAAGAATTAAAGGAGAGGACAGTTTCATCATTATGTGAAGTGTTGCCAGGATGACTTAGCCATTCCATTGCCACCAAACTGCTAAGAGTGTTGTTTGAATGCAATTTAAAAGGACAAAAATGGGCACCTGGTGGCTCAGTCCATTAAGCATTGGATTCTTGATTTTGGCTCAGGTCATGATCTCAGGGTCCTAAGATCAAGCCCCACATGGAGCTCTGTGCTGGGTGCTGGAGCCTACTTAAAATTCTCTCCTCTCCCTCTCTTCCCCCGTGCCCCATTCACGTGTGCTCGCTCAAAAAAGGACAAACAAAAACACCTGGGAAAGATTTCCATTAGTCCTTAGGTAGTTGAAGATAAAAATTACAAATCAATTGTAAAATTAGTAGCACTGATCCTGAGAATCTTCTCCAGGCTGCTCCTCTGTTTTCTCCCACTGGTTTTAGGCCACAAAACTGGCCATGGTATGCGTCAGGTCCACTAGAATGGCAGCAAAATTATTTCCCATCCCACATGTTCTGCTTACTATGTGAATTTAACTCTCCTCCTCTCAAATGGGGTTGGGGATGCCTGGGTGGCTCAGCGGTTGAGCATCTGCCTTCGGCTCAGGGCGTGATCCCACGGTCCCAGGATCGAGTCCCACATCAGGTTCCCTGCATGGAGCCTGCTTCTCTCTCTGCCTAAGTCTCTGCCTGCCTCTCTCTCTCTGTGTCTCTCATGAATAAATAAATAAAATCTTAAAAAAAAAAATGGGGTTGGTCTTCCCTGTCCTTGAATCTAGGCATGCTTATAACTAGAGCAAAAGTGATTTTTTTCAGTCTTCATAGTAAAAGTTGATGCAGCTTCTGCCTAATTTTCTTGGGGTTCTTACTCTTGGAAGCAAGTCAGCCATGCAGAAACCTGAGTTTGTGTGGGGTTTGGTATTTTGTCAGCCTAAACTGGGGTTTCAGCCAGAAGGCAGTATTAACCACCAGATATGTGAGTGAACAAACCTTTGAATGATTCTAGCTCCTGACTGGAACAGCCTTCCAGGCTCCCAAACTGAGGCCCCAGACATTGTGGAGTAGAGATATACCCACTAGGCTCTTTCTGTATTCCTGACTTATGAAATTCAAGGGCATAATTAAATCATTTTTTTTTTTAAACTTTAAGGTTAAAGGGTGGTTTGTTGAACAGCAGTAATAACAGGAGCATTGATCAAGGTTAATCCCTCCAGCTATGATCTGGATCCCATCTATTTTGCCTCCTTGGAGATCTCATTCATTTGTTCATTCAATAAATAATTACTTCTCGTGCATGAGATGCTGATCTAGGCTTTGGAGATATGACGTTGAATAAGACAAGTCTGCCAAGCTGAAACTTACATTCTATTAGATAGTACTAAGTGCCACATAGAGAATTAATACAGGTGGAGTGATTAGGAGGCTACCTTGATTGAGGTGACTGAGGTTGGTTTTTCTGAAGAGGTAATTTATAAGCTGAGACCTGAATGATGAGCATTAACCATGGGAAAGTCTGACAGGAAAGCATCCCAAGTAGAGGGAAACATAAATGCTAAGGCTCTAAAAGGAGCAGGAGCTCAGCATGTCTCAATACCAAAAGGTCGGGGCTAGATCTTGCAGAGCTTTGTAGACCAGGATATGGAGTTTGAATTTTACTCCAAGAGAAATGGGAAGCCATCTGTTGTAGGCAGCCTCTAGGCTGGACTCCCAATGGTCCTGCCCTATGGTAATCCCTTCCTGTTAAATGTGGATGGACTTCCTGACTTCTAACAAAGACAATGTGGTAAAAAAAAAAAAAAAAAAAAAATATATATATATATATATATACACACACACACACATACACATACACATACAAATGGTGAAAATGACTGGGTGTCACTTCTAAGGTTAGGTTGTAAAAGATTGGAACACGCATTTCACCAGAGGTGTACAAAGGAAAAAATAAGTACATGAAAGGTGAGCAGTGTTATTAGCCATTAAGAAAATGCAAATTAAAAATTCAATGAGATAACTACAACACAATTATCAGAATGTCTGAAATTAGACTGTACCAAGTGTTGGAAAGGATGTGGGACTACTGGAACTTACACTGCTAATGGGAATGTAAAGTAACACAACCACTGGGGAAAACAATTTGGCAGTTTGTAAAAACCTACTGCATAGGGATCCCTGGGTGGCGCAGCGGTTTGGCGCCTGCCTTTGGCCCGGGGCGCGATCCTGGAGACCCGGGATCGAATCCCACGTCGTGCTCCCGGTGCATGGAGCCTGCTTCTCCCTCTGCCTGTGTCTCTGCCTCTCTCTCTCTCTCTCTCTCTCTCTCTCTGTGACTATCATAAGTAAATAAAAACAAAAAACAAACAAACAAAAAAAACCTACTGCATAACCCTTTGCTAGGTACTTACCCAAGAGAAAGGAAAGCATGTGTCTTTCTGAAGACCTGTACATAAATGTTGATAGCTTTATTTGTAAGAGAAAACTAGAGACCACCCGATGTCCATCCCTAGGTGAATGGATAAACACGTTGTAGTATGTCTGTACAATTGAGTACTATCATACATGCAAAAACCTCAGTGAACCTCAGTTATACTAAGTGAAGCCAGGAAGAGTACATACTGTGCAATTCCATTTACGTAAAATTCTAAAAGATGCAAACTAAGCTTTAGTAACTGAAAGATCAGTGAGTGCCTAATGATGTGGGGTGGCAGGGAGAGGCTGCAGGGAAGGATTATGAAGGGGCAGGAGGAAACTTCCAGGGTGATGGATATGTTCATTACCTTGATTGTAGTGATGGTTACGTGAGTGTATTCATTTGACAAGTCACAGCTTCTCCCGTGGTACACTGAAAATAAGTCTGGTGCATGGCATGTCTGCTATACCCCCAGCGAAACTGTTAAAAGTACCCCTCTATCTTCCATTCCCTTCTCTGTGTTCAAGGATAAGCTGTCGGAAAGACTTGTCTGTACTCTCTGACTCCATCTCTTCCACTTTCACCAGTGCCACGATCGCTCTCGTGGTGTCAGGCCCAAGGAGCAGGTCTCCGTCTCTCTCCTCCTTGCTGCCTCTGACTTATTGACCACTGTCTCCTAACGGAAATTCCATGCTACCAATCTCTCCAGGATTTTCAGCTCTGGCAGTTTTTGCTCTAGGGCCAGAATTAGAGCCCTAAGGACCTTACCACACGGATGTCCCAAAGGTTCCTCAGGTTCAGCTTCTCCAAAGCTGAACTTCTGTTCCCTTCCCCTACCCACTCTTTCTTTTTAAAATTCCCTGTTTGATGGCATCATCATCCACTTAGTTTGCCCAAGCCAGAAACTAAGTATTCATACATAGCTATTCTTTTTCCTCAACCTAACAGCCTAAATACCTTCTTCTCTGGACACTTCTCCCTCTTTATACCTCTTTCAGCACCTTGCCACATACCCAGCATTGCCTCAATTGCCTCTGGTCCAAGTCCTTGAGCGAACTACTGTAACAGCTCCTCAGAGGTCTTCCTATCCTGGTCTATCTTTTCCTTCTAACTGCTGTCGTATAACTTTCTTCCTTAGAAAAAAATAATCTTTTGCTTCCTTCACTTGGAATACTGATGTAGGAAATACTGATATCAATGTAGCAAAAACCAGAAATGTCCAATTCCCTTGCTTGTTGAGCCTCTCAGCTCACAGAGATCGTCCTACCACCATGTTGGGATCACTGGAGGGTCCACACAGGGAGTGCTGCAGGGAACACCCAGAAGCATGCCTGTCTCTCTGCCTAGAATTGACGGTGGTGTGTGGTCACTGTGGCAGTGGGTTGTGATGAAAGCATAAATGAAAAATGTAGCCTAACTCCTGTCAGCAGGAACTTGGGCAGCAGAGTGATGGTTAGTGGGAGGTCAGTCCCAAAAGAAAATATAAAGGAGAGGATTGGCAGATATTTGAACCAAGGTCATTGGAAACTGTAGTCACCAAAAAAGAAACCTGTGATGATTAATTTTGTGTGTCACCTGAGCCAGGTGTCTCTCTCTCAGATTCATTTTAAGGAATTGCCTCCCATGATTATCTACACACACACACACACACACTCTACTGCATCTGTGTCTCTGAGGAGCCCTGACCGATACAGAGCCCGATAGTGTCAACCTGTTAGGAAAATCAGGGGTCCACCATGACGGAGGAGAGGGAGGGCTGGCCTTTGCTCTGCCCCTGCTGTGTGCTGGGCATGTGGAGAAGACATAGGAACCAAGAGTCGTAAACAAGTTTGAAGCAAATTCTATTTCTATTTTCTTCTGAGTTGTTTTTTTTTTTAAGCGTTCATTTGGGAATGGAACCTGCTGAACTTGCAAACAAACCATAGCAGCTGCAGCTAATGAAAAATTAATAAAGAATGCTAAATCTTAGACTCCATTGAACAATAATGGCTGGCATCTGTGTACCATTTACCAAACCTGCCCTTCCAAGCCCCCAAACCGCTTTCTTGGATGAGCAGAGTGGCAGAGACTAGCCCTGCTTTATAGAGGGAGACACGAGGGCTAGGACCTCCTGCCACTTGTCCCTCAGCACAGACCTTC